GGGAGGTAGAAAGTGATGGCTTAAGTAGTTGGGTCCCTGTCACCTACATGGGAGACTTGGACTGAGTTCCAGACTCCTGGCCACAGCCTGGTCCTGTTGTGGCTGTTGTAGGCATTTGGGGAGTGAACCAGCAGATGGAAGATTCTCTCTCTCGCTCGCTCTTATTGCGTGCGTGCGCCCGCGTGTGTGTGTATGTATGTACCTCTCAAATAAAGAAATTTTTTTACAGTTTAATAGGGGAAGTAATACATTCTCCAAAGACCCACTGTAGAGGGTGGATATTTGGCATAATGGTTAAGTCCACACTCAGGATGGCTGCATCCCATATTGGAGTGCCTAGTTCAAGTCTTGGCTGCTCTACTTCAGATCCAGGTTCTTGCTAATGCACACTCTGGTACTTGGGTTTGTTTGTTTGCTTGTTTGTTTTTGGCAGGCAGAGTTAGACAGTGAGAGAGAGAGAGAGAGAGAGAGAGAGAGAGAGAGAAAGGTCTTCCTTCCATTGGTTCACTCCCCAAATGGCTGCTACGGCTGGCGTGAAGCCAGGAGCCAGGTGCTTCCTCCTGGTCTCCCATGCGGGTGCAGGGCCCAAACACTTGGGCCATCCTCCACTTCCTTCCTGGGCCACAGCAGGGAGCTGGACTGCAAGAGGAGCAACCGGGACAGAACCGGCGTCCCAACCGGGACTAGAACCTGGAGTGCTGGCGCCGCAGGTGGGGGATTAGCCTAGTGAGCCACGGCACCGGCCGGTACTTGGGTTCTTATCACCCACATGGGAGAACTGGATTGAGTTGCAAGCTCCTGTCACTGGCCTGGCCCAGCCCTGGTTGTTGCAGATATTTACATAGTTGATCAGAGGATGGAAGATCTCTATCTCCTTGTTTTTCAAGTAAAATGAACAAGTAAATAGATAGATAATGTTTAGTAAGTTTTGTGAGGATTAAGGAGACAATTTGCTTGAATGTATTATAGGATCTCACACAAAACGAACCTGTGTCATTGCCTCTCCAGACCCTTTAACCTTGAATGAGGGCCTAGTGTTGTGGCACAGTAGATTAAGCCTGCAATGCTAACATCCCATATGAGTGTGAGTCCCGGCTGCTCAACTTCCAATACAGGTCCCTGCTAGTGTGCCTGGGAAAGCAGTGGAAGATGGTGCAAATGCCATCCCTGCCACCTGTGTGGGTGACCCAGATGGGAGTTCTTGGCTCCTGGCTTAGGTCTTGCCCAGCCCTGACCATTGCAGCCATTTAGGGAGTGAACCAGGAGTTGAAAGCTCTCTCTCCCTCTGTTTCCAACCCTTCTCTCTCTCTCTCTCTCTCTCTCTCTCTGTAACTCTTCCTTTCAAATATATATTTAAAAAAAAAACAAAACAGCCTTACATGCTAGGCCAAGGAAGCTGTTTCCTAAAATAGGCCTTCCATTCACTTGAAGCAGTGAGTACAGAAGGAAGCATGAAAATTTAGGTCTACAGGAGGTCTTAGCAGAATTCCTTTATGTTCCTGGTGAAACAATTGAGGCCTAGAGAGCTCAGGGTCACACAGTGATGTTAGAAGTCCTTGCTGGGGCCGGTGCTGAGGCTCAGCGGGTTAACGCCCTGGCCTGAAGCACCAGCATCCTATATGGGCGCCGGTTCTAGTCCCGACTGCTCCTCTTCCCATCCAGCTCTCTGCTATGGCCTGGGAAAGCAGTAGAAAATGGCCCAATTGCTTGGGCCCTGCACCCGCATGGGGGACCTGGAGGAAGCTCCTGGCTCCTGGCTTCGAATCAGCACAGCTCCGGCCGTTGCGGCCATTTGGGGGGTGAACCAGCGGATGTCAGACCTCTATCTCTCTCTCTGCCTCTCCTCTCTCTGTGTGACTCTGACTTTCAAATAAATAAATAAATCTTTAAAAAAATAAAAGAAGTCCTTGCAACCAGTGCATTTTGGGCAGTCGTTCCTGGAGTCCCACATTGGCCTCCCGCCTCCGAGAAGGAAGCGCGTTCATGTAAAGTTCATCTGAGGTCACAGTCTGCCGGCGGGAGGATTTCTGTGAAGTCAGCTGGAGAGATTCCCTGGCCCTTTGCAGCCAGGCTGGGAACCAGGGAGGGAGGCCACCGGCTCGCCACGTCACACCCCAGGATGTGACAAGGCCAGGATGGAGTGGCCTCTGGATGATGTAGGGATGGGAGGCAGTGTCACCAGGGACAGCCTCCTCCTCCCTCTTCACAGAGCCAGCCCCTGGGGAGACAGGGGGCAGGGCTGGTGCAGGCTCAAGTCTCTGAGCATCACTCGAGTCCCACACACGTGGAGAGTGCGGAACTGTGCCCTCAGAGCCACCTCTTCTCTTACTGACTCGTTCTAACAAGATTCAGTGAGGTGCCAGCACAGCTAATGGCTCTCCGTACACTCCTGTTAGCTGGACACGTGCAGCCTGCGCTAGAGAGGCGGGATAAAGCGGTAGGCAAGGGCATGGTCTCTGCATTAAATTTCTGGATTCCTATCTAGTCCTTTCACATTCATTCTGGGTGACTCAGAGCAAATTGTTTCCGTCTCTCTGTGCTTCGGTTTCCAAGCCTGTGAAATGGGATCACATTGTACCTGCCTGCCTGCCTGCCTGCTGGGATGTTCTGAGTGAATTAACACATTTCAGGCACTTGCATGAGCGCAGGGCACACTGCAAGCTCTGTACATTCATTGTTATCACTGGACCAGCATCTTCTTAAGGCTCCCCCTTAGTAGCTAAATATCATTTTATTATTTTAGAATTGTCAGGGCAGTTACAATCTAGGGTTTTCTCCTTTTAACATGTTTATTACCTGTCTGCTTTTAAGTTCTATAGGAGGGTCTACACAGAGGATATAATAGATGCTTGGCAAATACTTGCGGAATTGAGTGGAATACATCATTGGAACAGTCGCAATTCCATCCCCATTTTGTGGAGGAGAAAACTCAGGCATTGAGAGTTTCCCTTGATTACTCAGAAGTCACCCAGCAAGGATCAAATTCAATTTGACTCAAGCCCCCATTCTTAAGGGCTACGCTGAATTGACTCCTTAATTCTTAGCTAGGAAGTGAGTAGGACGCCCACATCTTGTCCACTTTCTCTTCTCTGAGTTGGAGCAGAAGCAGGGACTGGAAAGTTAGGGGAAGAGGCAATGGTCCAATTTGCATTGCTGTCCTACAGAGATCAGCCTCAGCACCTCCTGTCCTCCTCCACTCCCTTCCACATGGTCCCGAGCTCTTCCACCCAGACTCACCCTCACCCTCTTCTCCATCCTCAACGCCACCTGATTTCTTCTCTATCCCTGTTGTGTTCTCATCTTCATCCCTATCCCTGTGAGGGAGGGCTGGGGTTGGACTTTGTCCCAAAGCCTGGGGCCAGCATCTATGACCCAGTCTAGGGAAGGCTTTTTTTTTTTTTTTTTTTAATCTCTGTGTCAGGGCCATTACGGTAAAGCCACCACCTGCAGTGCTGGCGTCCCATATGGGCGCCAGTTCAAGTCCCGGCTGCTTCTCTTCTGATCCAGCTCTCTGCTATGACCTGGGAAAGCAGTAAAAGACAGCCCAAGTCCTTGGGCCCCTGCACCTGCATGGGAGACCCAGAAGAAGCTCCTGGCTCCTGGCTTCGGATGGGTGCAGCTCCGGCCATTGCAGCCAATTGGGGAGTGAACCAGTGGATGGAAGACCTCTCTCTCTCTCTCTCTCTCTCTCTCTCTCTGCCTCTCCTTCTCTCTGTGTGACTCTGACTTTCAAATAAATAAATAAATCTTTTAAAAATAAATAAAAATAAAAACTCCGTGACAATGAAATTTTCAATAAATTTCCTCTGCCGCGCCCTCCCCCAGTCCTCCTTCTCTGGATGTTTTTAGCCTCCCTTGTTTACATGTTACCCAGAGCCTAACCTCTCCCTCAGGTGGTGAGTTGGTGCGTCACCCAAGAGTTGCCTGTTTCCATCTCCCAGCCTGCTTCCCATGGGGCGTGTGTCACAGGTCCCAGGCAGGCTGAGTCCTGATGGAAGATGCTTCTCCCCAACTCCCCCAGTTCTTGACTTCCAGGCGCCTCCTGGAAACCTTCCTGCAGAGTTAGACAGGGAGGCACAATTCTGAGCGGGGCTCACATCTGGAGTCTGCCTTGGGTGTGGAGTCAGGACTGAGGCTATTCAAGTTCACGACAGCATATCCCTCTATCCAGCTGGACATACGGGTGCTTGGCATCGCCTGGGGTCTGGGCAACATTGGCTGGGGATCCATCCTTGGAGATCACAGGGCCTTCTGGAGACCCTCCCTTGGCCCCTAGCATGGCGGGTAGGTCAGAGGTTATACTCACGACAGCTACTTACGCCATTCTCCATCCAGCAAGGACAGATGGATGAATGTGGCACAGATAGATGTTTGAGCAGTTTGTAGAAGGGAATAAGGCAGGCACTGATGGATTAGGTTTAGGAATAAAGCTGAGGCTGAGATGTGAATGTGAAGATGTGAACGTGGAGCCCAGGGTTAACGACTGCTGTGTGCCTGTGAGGGCCAGGGGCTTGGAGGCCGGGGGACGTGACACTGTTCCCGCACAGGTGAACTCGTAGTCACCGTGCACTTGCACTGGTGCCATCCTCTCGTGCTCACACATTTGCTCATCTGCATGATTGTGTGGGCCAGTGGCACTGTCTGACTTCCCAGTGCCCTCATAGATATTCGAATAAGCAAGGACACAGGCTTGGAGAAGTGAGGGGATTTTCTTCTGTAGCTCTTTATGGGTAAAATTGGTACTAGAATCCTTGGTCTTTTAGCTCCTGATCTGGTGTTTTTCCAGCCTTGTCACAGAGAGACCCCCAGCATGGAGAGGTGGCAACCAGAGGCGTTTGACCAGGTCAAAGAGGAGGGGTTAGACCAACGAGGAGAGGAGCCCGGGGTAGGGATGTGAACATGGCCTGAATCTCTTCCTATCACTACTGCCTGGAGAACCCCCTGCCCCAGTTCTTCCACCCAGGAGAAATGAGTACATTATGTCCACCAGGAGACAGGCACAAGAATGTTCATAGCAGCTTTATTCATGATCATCAAATCCCAGAACCAACTCGGATGTCTATCAACAGAAGAATGGGTACAAAAGTGTGGCACCCTGCTCCAATGGGTTACTACCCAGCAGCACAAAGCAGCAAACTATGGATACATGGCATGGATGGGCCACAGAGGCCTCAGGACACTCGGTGAGAGAAGCAGTCTCAAGAGAATACATTCAGGAGGATCAAAACTGGAGCCACAAATCACTTTGACAGTTGCTCTAAGGTATTGGGTGAGACCGGCTGGACAGCGGGATGAGGGGAGCTTCTGGGGTGATGGAGACATTGAAATGTTCTCTCTCTTGATCTGAGTTGTACATTTCCTGTATGCAAATTATATCTTAATTCAAAATAGTTCACAGCTCAGCTTTTTAGGACAGAGTTGGGTGAAGAAGGAAAAGGAAAGACCATGCACAGCCGAGTATGGTGGTGCCGTCCCAGGCTGGCTCCTGTGGAAGGTGACCAACTGCCCTGATCTGCCTGGGATGGAAGGGTTTGCTGGGACAAGAAACTTTCAGTGCTAAAACTGGGACAGTCCTGGGCAGACGGGGCAGCTGAACCCTTGACTCCTGGGGGTGGGTGGTGGCATTGAGAGGGTGTCTGGGATACCTGGTGGAGGCTGAACTTCCTCTGACCACAGCTCAGGGATGCTCCAGTGAGCTCAAAGAGGGGCCCGCCAGGGGTCAGGGCAGTGGGCATCCCTGGTTGACATTAGGAACCTCAGGCTGGGCTGGCATCTTTGCTCCCTGGCGCCCTCCTCAAGGCTCCTGACCCCCCTGGGAGCAGGAAGGGGTAGGAGCGAGCCTGCCCCTGTGCAGTGGGAGGGAACAGACCCCAAGAGACTGAGTCGAGGCCACTGTGCTCTCCAGGCTCTGGGCATCACTCAGCGGTATCCCCGTCCTTCCTCCGGCAAATGCCTTGACCAAGAAAAAACCAACTCAACACAGCAATGCTGTGGAGGTCAAACAGACGTGGGGCCTGTTGGAGGCAAGCACAGCTCCACTGGGTCACAAGCAGAGACCGTCCCCTCTCTGCTCGGCTTGCCACAGCCTGCTAGGGCTTGAGCTGGGGTTGGGCTGGTCTCCTCCACCTTCTCAGAGCATGGGACAGAGCAGGCCAGGAAGGAAGGGCATGAGGTGGCTTCTGATAGAAAGTGCAGGCAGGGCCAGAGAGAGGAGGGCAGGGGGCAGGCCTAGAAGTTCTCATAGTGGTGCATGAAGTGGGCTCGGTCTTGTCTGTTGACGAGCTGGCAGGCCTTCTCCACATTCTTGGTCATGCCGGGGGGGCCACAGCTGAACACCCCGATCTTGCGCACCTGTCAGGTGATTGGAGAGAGAAGGGGAGGGGAAGCTGCTCTCCAGCTGCCCAGAAGGTTCAGAGCTCCGACTCTGAGCCCTGAAGAAGAGACTGGAGCCGGGGGACGGTGGAGTCCTCCTCCAACACTGGACCCCATCCTGGGGCAGGGATGGTGCAGGGAATCTCTGCTCAGGATAGAGCTGCAGGGTGCTCGGCCGCTGAAGGCCAGAGTCCTGCGCTGGGAAGGGGTGCACTGACCTGGGGGTGGACCTCCTGCAGGGAGTTGAAGAAGAGCTCGAAGGGGGGGCGGCCGAAGTGGGTGACAGAGCGCAGGCCCGTGAACAGACTCCGGTTCAGCACCTTCTGGAAGTGCCGCTCGCAGATGTACTGGGGGTACGAGGACAGGCAGGGTCAGCGCCCAGCCCACACAACAGCCGGGAGATGGGACTGGAGGTTAAGGGGCCTGTGCCCCCTACCCGCCGAGCCTGGCTGCCCACCCTCCCATCCCGACCTACCAGCATGGTGGTCCTGAGGTCGAACTTCTCGGCCAGCTGGGTGATGTAGATGTGCACGGACACCAGGTCCTGGGGGTCGTTCTCCTCCACCTCCCGGATGATGTCAGCCAGCCACTCGAACTGCCGCTGGGTCCGCGTCACCCAGATGAAGTAGATCTGCAGACACAGCCAGAGCTCGGGACCCAGCAGCGCTGCCCCTGTATCCCAGCTGCCTTCATTTGAGAGGCTTGGAAGCCCCAGCCCACCTATAGACAGTCAGACTCTATGCGCCGCCCGCCCCTACAGGCTGATCCCAGGCTCCCAGTGGACAGATCCTGGCAGGGATCATTCTGGCTGTGCCTCTTACTTGCTCTCCACGTTGGGCATGTGGACAGCTGGGAATGAGTGGCCCCTGTGAACCCAGTGCCTGGGAGCCAGCGGCTTGTGTGCCAGTGCCTCTGCTGTGATGCAGGGCCATGGTCAGGTGGCCTGGCCCCCACCTGGAGACTGGGGCAGAGATGCTCACCTTTTTACAGAGCATTTGGCTGCCCCAGGATGACTTGAAGACCAGGTCTTTGAGGATGGAGGCAAAGGGGGTGACCCCGATGCCCCCTCCCACCAGCACTGACACCTCAAACTGATGCCACTCCTGGTGGCCCTCTCCAAAGGGTCCATCGAGGTAGAGCTGCCGAGAGAAGGGAGAGATGAGGTCAGCCTGACCCTGCCCCAGCTCCAGGGCCGGAAATGAGACAGGCAGAAGGAAGGGATCAAGCTTCCTGAGTGTCCCTGGAGGCACCTCAGCCCTGTCCCGGCCTGGTCCTGGGATGGCTGGGGCTTCTAGTCTTAGACAGGAGAAGAACAGGGACCCTGCCTACGCCACAGGCTCAGAGGTGGGGTTCCCAGTGATGGGCACCTTCGGGTATCCGGCACAGTCCTTGTCCTTCGGGGTTGAGTAGATCTCCCTGAGGCGAGTGGTCCAGGGCCCCACCGCCCGGATGTGCAGGCTGAGCGTGTCCTCATGGGGTGCAGAGGTCAGCGTGAAGGGGTGGTACTCGTTGGTCCCCAGAGCCAGGCAGGCGATCCGCACCCACTGCCCTGACTTGTACTCGAAGGTCTGCGGCCGCTGGAACTGCAGGTGGGTCACTCCTGGGGGTCGTCGACAGGGAAGAGCTAGATGAGAAGGCTGCTCCTGGTGCCTGAGGCTTGGTAGGCACCAGTGCTCGCCACACACCCACGGCCCAGGCAGTGATCTGGGCCAGTGGGGATCTTAGGGCTCAGAACACGAGCGCCCCTTTCTCTGTGTCCTGGGTCGTTTGCTCCTGTTCCAGCCTCTCTCCTCCCTCTTCCCACACAGGGCCCCAGCCTCACACCCCTGCTCTGAATACCAGCCTGCTGGTGGCAGGGGAGGTGAGACCTTAGGCTCCCCGGGGACCCTCTTGGTGTTTATCCAACTTCCCCTGTTTGCTGGTGACCTTTGTGGTGGGTCACATCTGCACACCTTCTATACTACTATCCATCTAATGTTCTTAAGTTGATTTAATTTTAAATGTTAGTTATTTATTTATATTTGAAAGGCAGGGAGATTGAGCTTCCATCCACTGGTTCACTTCTGAAATGCCCATAACAGCTGCAGCTGGGCCAGGCTGAAGCCAGGAGCCCAGAGCTCTATTTGAGTTTTTCCCACAGAGTGGCAAGGACTCAAGTACTTGAACCATCATCTGCTGCCTCCCAGGAGGTCCATCAGCTGGAAGCCAGATCAGAAGTAGGACTCAAACCAGCCACTCCAATAAGGCATGTGGGCATTCTGAGAAGCAGCTTCACCTGTTATGCCACAACACCTGCCCCTAAGTTCAACTTATCTTGGCCGGAAATCTCATTTCTAAGGTACATGGAAAACCACACCATGTGATCCAGATCTTAGCTGGATGCTGTTGCCTGACTACAGCTGAGCCACAGGCCTGCTGTCTCTTTGTTGAAAGAAGAGATTAACAAGTGTTAAGAGTAGGAGAGGCAAACAAACACGATCTGAGACATTCTCCTGAAGTGGTCTTGGTTGAAATAAAATGAATTGAGGTGAATTTTCCTGCAACATGACTCCTGAAGACTAGATGGCCCTATGACACCTAAAGTCATCTTCCAGCACCTTCTATTTAAAAAATAAATGTATATATTTAAAGATTTATTTATCTGGGGCTGGCACTGTGGCACAGTGGGTTAATGACCTGGCCTGAAGCGCCAGCATCCCATATGGGCGCTGGTTCAAGACCCGGCTGCTCCGCTTCCTGTCCAACTCTCTGCTATGGCCTGGGAAAGCAGTAGAAGATGGCCCAAGTCCTTGGGCCCCTGCACCCACGTGGGAGACCCGGAAGAAGTTCCTGGCTCCTGGCTTCAGATCGACAGAGCTCCGGCCGTTGCAGCCAATCTTTTAAAAAAAGATTTATTTATTTGAAAGGTACAGTTACAAAGAGAAAGAGTGAGTGAGTGAGAGAGCCAGAGAGAGAGAGCGAGAGAGAGAATGATTGGTTCACTCCCCAGAGAGCTGCAATGGCCAGGGCTATGCTGGGCCAGGCTGAGGCTAGGAGCTTCTTTCAGGTCTCCCACATGGATACAGGGGCCCAAGCACTCGGGCCATCCTCTGCTGCTTCCCCAGGCCATAGTAGAGAGCTGGGTCAGACGTGAAGCAGCCAGTATACAAACTAGCACCCACATGGGATGCTGGTGTCGCAGGTGGCGGCTTAACCCCCTATGCCACAACACCAGCCCCATTTTCTAGCACCCTCTACAGTGATCTGAATCCCCACTCTGGCCAACACTGCCTGTCAGCAACAGAGGGCACCCTGGGCTCTGTGCCTGTCCCTGAGAGACAAGGAATGGGAGGAGGGCATGTGACTTCCTGCCCTACACTCTGCACCCAGGCCACACAAGTAGGGGTCTTTCTCATCCTCAAACCCCACTGTGTGAACTTTGAGCCTTCTCTTCTCACAGTCCCTTGTCACTGCACATCCGCAAGGGCCCAGCACAGCCCGTCCTGGGTGTGTTTCCATCAGGAAAGCTCGCGGAGTCCCTGAGAGGGCATCAGAGGCAGTGAGGGCTCGGGATGCCTGCTGAGCTGTCTGCCCTCATCTGAGGGGCCGACTTCTGCTGCTTCCCACCCGGGTCGGGCTGGACGCGGTACCTGAGGGCAGCAGCTCTGCCTTCACCACGCCGATCTCCACCTTCTTCCGGCTCAGGCTCACCAGCTTGTCTGCCCCAAAGATAATCGCCGGGACCAGGAAGTAGATGTGGAAAGAGGGCAGCTGGATGAGAGCGTAGCTGCCGTGGATGATGAGCTGGGGACATGGCCAGTGAGTATAGCTGAGGCTCCACCAGGCCCCCACCCCACCCCACCCCACCGCCCCACCTTCACCCAGGCACTTCCTGCCCAGAACCAGGCCTGGGCTGGGGAGATGGGGCCAGCACCGGCTCCCGCATCTGAAGTCTTAGATCCCAGTCTGAGGTCTCGGGTCTAACTCTGCGTGCTCCCTCCTCCACCCCCATCTCTCACGCTGAGCACCCTGCTCCATAGCCTGGTCCTGCCCAAAAAAGTCCCTCACCAGGGCGTAGAGCGCCACGTAGAGGTGGTGGGTCAGCCAGAAGCCCCGGAAGCTGTGGCGGCGGAAGTAGTGGGAGGCGAAGACATACATGATGGCCAGGACCACGAGCAGCAGCACCCCCGACATACCTGGCGGCAGGAGGACAGGGTCAGCAAATACTCTCAGGACCTCGGCCTGGGCAGGGAGTGCAATGGAGCAGGCCCCCACCCTGCCCTCCTCCTGCTCTCAGCCTTCTAGGCCCCTTTTGCCAGGAGGCGCTGGAGCTGGTCTACAGGATAAAAAGGGGTCCCAGGGCCACTACAGACAAGTGTGTGTTCACGGCGAGCAGGAGATGAAGGTCCCCAGGCAGAAGCCCTGCTCCCTACCTGGGATCGTCTCAAAGAACCACCAGTAGAACTTTGGGATGATCTTTGACCTGTGGAATGAAGGCACACGGAGTCTCTGGCTGGGGGGCAGAAGGGCTCCACAGCGGTCGCTGCAGCCTGAGTCCCTTCCCTCTGGCCCTGATGGCTGAGGTTGCTGGACCTCCGCCCAGGTGGACAGGGATCCTTCCGAGAACCACAACCCGCAGCCTCCTCCCTCCCAGCGATGTCCACTCCTTGTTGTGCTGAGCTCCCTTACTGTGGCCGGCTTTGCTTACTTGAGTGCCTGGGCCATGATTTCACAAGTCCCCCAAGAACAGCGACTTGTGCTGTGGTCACTGCTCTATCTCTGGGCTTCCAAAGGCCAGGCACACAGCGAGTGTCCAGTAAGCATTTGTGGAATGACTGCCTGTTATCTGACATCACTACTCTCTGGCTCCTGGATAGACACACAGGACATGCTTCATAGAGATCCCCCTGCTGAGTGGAAGGTGAGCTGTGATGGCAAGCTGTGTGTCAGGTGCATAAGGAGAGGATCTCCACCTTCAGCTCCCAAACACCTGTCCCATCCAGGTAGCCTCCTGAGGGCAAGGAGGCCACTTTTCAGCTCCCCCACGGTGCCAGCTGTGCATCATTTTCACTCACGAGAGGCTGAGGACCTGTGGCCAGCTACTTACTTTCCACTACTCCCCCTGGGCCCGCCCCAGCAAGGTCCCCAGAACTGACCCATCATTCACAAAGACGTTGGGGAACACGCAGGTCAGCAGGCTGAGTGGGCTGACTGAGAAGATGTAGAAGTTGACCACGTGGCCAGCACTGTGCAAAACTGAAAGAGCCAGGCCCCGTTAGAGATGCCACCAGGGCAGCCTCTACCTCTGTGCTACCCAACCCTCTTCCCCCTCCCCCCAGGCTGCAGGCAGAGGGAAGCCGCTGGGAGCCCGTACTGGCCAGAACAACAGCCCCCATGGCGATCCAGCGATGGAAGTCCACGGCCGCATCAAAGGGCACGTAGCGGTTGAGGAAGGTCTCCCGCAGGAAGGTGATGAGGTTGCGGCACATGGTGAGCAGGATGTAGGAGAACATGAAGGAGATGCTGGCCGCCGTGCCCCGCGACAGGATGATGCCCACGTACGTGGTCTCCTCAATGTCCGTGGGTGGGGAGGCAAAGGCGTAGTCTAGGGTGGGAGCGGGCGGGGGTCAGCGGGCACGAGAGGCGGCGCCCCGAGCCCTCACCCACCGCCTGGGCTCTCCCGTGCCGCCCTGAGGATGGGGAAGAGCAGCCGGAGAGCGCCGCCCTCGCCCAGGGCTGGGCCTGCCCGACACCCCCCGCCTCAGCCTTACAGTAAGCGCGCTCTGCGAACAGGCCCACACAGAGCGCCGAGAAGAGCGTGGCGCACACGATGTGGCGCCGGTAGTTCTCCACGAAGCGCTTGAACTGCCGCACCTTCTGCGCCACGAAACCTCGCTGCATCTTCTCCTGCAGCGCCTCGGTGTAGGGCCGCGCGGTGGGCGCCGCCGCCCTGTGGGAACGGGACGCAGCACGGCCGTGGTGGTGGAGGGGAGAGGATGATGAGAAGCCCTCCAACACTACAGCCTTCTCCCCACCCCCGCAATGGGTCAGGGACAAACAGGATGACACTCAGGGTGCTCCTTTACTTGTCAAGTTGGTGCGGGCAAGGCCCAAAGACCCTGAAACTTCTCTCCCTGTGTCCTTGGGCCCAGGCGTCTGGGATACACTCACTTTTTGCCAAACCTTTTTTTCAGCCCAGGACCTCCGGGCTCTGAGACTTCTGAGTCAGGGAGCCCCACTCCCTGGGGGCAGGAGCTGAGAAAAAGAGAATGGGGCTGTTGTCCCCCTGTCTTTGCAGCCAGGAGAAGAAGTGCCACTCGGGCTTGAGCTGGATCACACCACAGGGGCAAGGCAGGCGGGGGCAAGGTGCCGAGCAGGAGGTCTGTTCTGCACAAGGATTCTGGTCTGAAGCGGCAGGGAGCGGCGTGTGGGAGGGGGCAGCTGGAATCTGGGCTAGTGCCCACCACGTGCTGAGAGCTATTATCAGAGGGCAAATGCCTGACCCTGGAGGCTGGACAGCGATCCTTAGTTCCTCTGTTTTCCCTGTAAGGCACTAGCCGGGAGACCTCCCAGCTGCCTCACTGCTGCTCACCGTTCCGCAGGAGTCCGAGTGATGAACGACACTCGGCAGTTGGCATTTTTCTTAAAGTCATCTCCAACACCTGGAGAGGAGAACAAGAGGCTGGTCTGGCTTCCCCACAGGGGCAGGAAGTGGGGCGTGGGAACCTGCCACAACCCCCCTTCCCCGTGCCAGTGTCTGGGTTGTGTCTAGATCTCTGGCTCAAGCCCCATTCCTCTCCCTCCCCTTACTGAACCCCCAGTAGACACGGGCCAGACATTGTGTTGACCCTGTGTGAGTAGAATAAGGGACGCCCTCTGAGCAAACGCAACCCTACACAAACTTTGGGTAAAGAAAATGGTGCTTGTTCTTCTGGCCAGTGCCCATGGCTTTGAGCAGGGTGTTGGCTGAACTTCAGCCTGCCCCATGACCTCAGCAGGTCATGGCATCTGTGCAGTGCACAACTTGTACATCTGGATATGATGCCCCTGGCTGCCTTGTCTGGCTCTGTATTAGGTGCCAACAGCTCAGAGAGGAACACAACCTGGGTCCTGTCCACCAGGGACTCTCACTGTGAATACACGCTGCCTCCCTGCCGCAGCCCCTCTCTTCAGCACTCACGTACCTCCACCTCCACCTTTGACACAGAGCTGCGTGAAACGGAGCTCGCTGTCATGGTCCCGCAGCATGAAGTGGAAGTCCTCCCATGTCAGCTCCTCCTTGTCCTGGAAGCCCGACTCCCGGAACATGGACTCCACGACCTCGGCCAGCTGTGCCTTGGACAGGCTGTTGTTGGAGATCTCGAGGAAGGACCTGGGGGAGGGGCAGCAACAGAGCAGCCTGTCACCCATCGAGGTCAGGCTCTGGCCGGTACAGGGTGGGGCAGGGCCTGGATTGTCCAATGTGGTTACCAGTGACCCAAGAAATGGCACTGAAAAGGTGTTCATCCAGCCTGTAGCTGACACTAAGCTGGGTGTGGTAGCCGCAGGCTTGAAAGAACAGAATTTCAAATCACCTTGAACATTTAAGACAAAGTCAAATGGGGCAGGGGAAGGGGGAAGGTGCAGCTATGGGTAGGACAAACGTCCACTCGGTGCAGGGATGTGTCCAGGGTGTGCCACAGCCACTTGGCCCACTCGTGTGCTGATGCCTGCCACACCACCCGGCGGCTCCCACTTCCACAGGCCAGCAGGGCACCAGACAGCAGGGAGAGGAACAGGGCTGTGGCTGCAGCACTGGCCGCATCCTCATGCCAACACTCCAGGGCCCAGGCTGGAGAGTCTCCACACCCACTCTGACAGCACACACTGTGGCATGTATAGTGACCAAACACTTTCTCAGGCTGTGCTTAGGGACAAAACCAAGCAGACCATGCCAGTTTTTACTGGTCCAGCAGAAAAGCCCTGGGCCTCTGTGACACAGCAGGTGTTGCCATCACTGTACAAAAACAAACAAAAAACCATCCCTTGAGGCCAAGCAAGATCCACACTGAGTTACAGGATGAGAAGGTGGGCGCTCAGCCCCTGGTGGCAGGGGCCTTCTCCTAGAGCCCCCAGACCCCAGCCAGGACCGGGCCTGCAGTGAGACACCGGGCAGGTGCGGGATGCAATCAGTTGACCCTGGCAGGGGTACCTGGACTGTAAGAGAAGCGACAGTCAAGAGAAGTGCTGAGAGCAATGGAGAGGCCCACAGCGATAGGCAAGTTAGAAGAATCTTCCTCAGTCAACTACGTGTCCAGTGCCTACTCTGTGCCAATCACAACGGGGAGGAAGCGGATACAACCAAGAGATGGGGGAGCCCTGCCCTGAGGCCCCGAAAAAGGCGGCCTTGCTGAGGCCTTGTCTTCAGCAGGGAGGAAGCGGTGGTGCTCAGAACTGGCGTTCTCGGCGCGCCAGCGCCAGCAACGCTTGAGAAACAAGAGAGGAACCGTGGTGTAGAGCAACTCCCCGTGTTTCTCCTCCCGAGCCTGCAGGTGATTGGCAATGGAAGAGTAACCGAGGTCACCTGTCCCATTGGGAGTTCCTAAAGATCCAAAGGCGGCCAAAAAAAAGGCCTCCTTGCCTGCCTTCCTCTGACCTCTGACCTCCTCTGTGGTCCCATTTAAAACATCAGGAGGTCTCAGGACTGGAAGGCCCACCACCCATACCGAATCATGGTGAAGAATTCGTCCTTGGAGAGGAAGCCGTTCTCATCCAGGTCGTACATGGTGAACATGAGGCGGGACTTATCCTCTGGGGTGCCTGGGAGAGAAAGGGGGGTGGAGGCCACCTCTCTGCTGCGAGCCCCTTGGGCCTTGGAGGGTGCACCATCCCTCAGCCCCCTCACCTTTCATGAAGACCACCAGGATGTCCAGGAACTCCCGGAAGGACAGGTAGCCATTGCCGTCCTTGTCGGCCAGAGAGAACATGGACTCCACAAACATGTCCTGGGGCTTGAGGCCCAGAGATTCGGCAAACTCAGCCCTGCTCAGCTCGCACGTCAGGGCCTCCCGCACCTTCTGGGATGCGTCCAGGGGCAGGGTCCCCGCGTCCGCCTGGTTGATGTCCAGCACCTGCACGCGGACGGCACAGAGGGTGGGAGGGAAAGCAGTGAGGCCCAGGTGGAGGCAGCTCAGTGACCCCTCACATCTCCCCAAAGTCCACATCAGAGGGGGCAACCCTGATGGCTGCTCCTGCTCCTTATACCACCGACTTGGGCCTCCCTCTGCTCTCCTGAAGAGAGGGAATCAAGTCTCTAGCAGCCAGCACCCTTCCTCCCTGAACCCCAGAATCACAGTGCTGGTGCTGGGGCGGGGAATGGAAGGGGAAGGGCAAACTCAGGGAATGCAGAGTGAGAAAGCCTGCACCGGGACAGAAGGAGTAGACATGGCGGACAGGCGGGAAGAGGCTGGGGCCAAGCTCTAGTGCCAATTCAGATAGGGCTGCTCTGTGCCTATGCTTCAGTCTCTGCCTATTGTGCCAAGACTCGAAAAGTCGCCTGTAGCTACCAAAGTCCCCTGAAGCACTTGGGCCACACCTGGACAGGTGTTTATCAAATCACCTGGATGGCTCACCCCAGAGTTCCTGATTCAGTCTGTCTGGGGAGGGGCCTGAGAATTCTCGCTTCCAACAAGTTCCCAAGGAAGGCTGATGCCCCCCAGGGCCAACCTCTCAGAAGCACTCACTGAGATTTTCTCGCCGAGGGATGGATACTGATGGAACCACTGATTGAATCAGTGGTTCACTGGTAAGGACATGGACGTATAGAGATAATGGCCACACAAGCAGACACAAGTGACAGAGCCAGGGTTGAACCAGGGCTATTTGACTCCAGCCCCTAGAGTGGAGTCACACAGGGTCTGATCCAGCCCATGCTCCCTCTCCCTCCATTCCCTGTGCTGGGCTTGTCCCCAGAAGGCATAGGCGAGGCTGGCATTGTAGCATCGCTGCCACCTGCAACTCCAGCATCCCATGTTAGAGCACTGATTGGGTTCTGGCTGCTCCACTTCCTATCCAACGCCCTGCTAATGCACCTAGGAAGGCAGTGGAAGATGGCCCAAGTGCTTGAGCCCCTGTACCATGGGGGAGACCTAGATGGAGTTCTAGGCTCCTGGCTTCAGCCTGGACCAGCCCTGGCGATTGAGGCCTTTAGGGAGTCTCTGTATGTCTCTCTTCCTCTCTCTCTCTCTGTCACTCAGATTTTCAAATAAATATCTTAAAAACAAAACAACAACAGTAACAAAAGGCCCAGGCTGCGGCACCTGAGCAAAAAGGTGTCTGAAGAAGATCTCGAGGATGCGCGCCCGCTGCTGCTTGGTCGCCGCCTTCCTGAACAGCTCCTTCTCGCCCATCTCCGCCACGTGCAGGCCCAGCCCCCAGTACTTGCAGAACTCCCGCAGCTGCTGCACGAAGCTGCCCCGCTCCTCCTCGAAGTTAAACAGCAGCACCTGGGCAGGAGGAAGGCCCCACGGTGCTCAGAGCTCCAGCTTAGGGTTCAGGCTCCCCGCAAAGGACCCTGGGTTGAGGGAAGGTGAGCAAAGCCCCTCTCCACCCATCCAGGCTGGGGCCAGGTGAAAAGAAATTAAAAGAAGCTCTCCCCTACCCCCCCCCCGCATCAGTCTTCACAGGTGCGCCCCCCCCCCCATAGCTGAGGACAGGGTGGCTTGTGAGCAGAGCCGCGTGTGAGTGGCCCAGGCGGGGGAGGCTGTACCAGGTCGTACTCCTTGGGGATCTTGAGCAACAGCGTGCGGCAGCCTCGGTCATTGGACAGGATGAGGCTGGCCTGCTGCGGGGGCTGCAGCTGGATGGTGCGGAGTGGGGTGAGCCGCCTGTCCAGGACCTGCAGCTGCCCACCCGGGAGCAGCTGGATGGTGACAGGATAGCTCCTCTCACAGGGGCCGGGCCACTCCATCGCTGAGAAAGGGATGATTGGACAGAGAGGCTCAGCAGAGGGCCCCAGACCCTTGCCCACAGGCTTCCTCGGCCAGAGCCTGCCCCTCCCTCCCGCAACCCAGCTCACCTGGCACCCCCTCTTTGATTGATTCCTTCTCCGTACTCCCCTTGCCTTTCCTTTGCAGCCTCTTGCGCTCCCGGTTCCGGAAATGGGCCACAATCGCCGCGATAACCAGGCTCACTGAAGGGGATCAGAATGGGCCAGTCAGGGGGTGGGGAGAGCCCCTTGCTGGCCGCTTCCTGGAGGCTTCCCTTCCCACTGCCCCCTGAACCTGGCCTCAAGCCTTAGTATAAGGAGCTTGTCCCAAAGCCCAGCAGGAAATGAGGGGCAGATGAGAGGGGGTGAGGCGCTCACCTAATGGAAGTAAGCAGAGAGCCACGATGATGAGGCCATAACCAGCTCCACTGCCCTCGAAGTAGTCAGTCACCATCAGGGGCACGCAGGAGGGCAAGCCTGCCGTTGTGAGCTGCCGGGGCTGGGGGCACGGTGCGCCTGTGGGAGAGGGCACAGGAGACCTCCAAGTCCGAGGAGCCTGCTCGGAGTGTGTACACGCCTCCTTCCCAACTCTGCCCTGCAAGGCACTGGGGTGTCCTCTGCCTTCCTGGGCCCACCTCCTGCAACCTGTGCCCCTCAAAAAAGTCCATTTTCATACATCAGCTCTCAGCAGCCACCCCAGTTTGGCCACAGGGTGCAGCCTGCATGTTGGCCCAGTCCATGTGAGAGCTGATGCTGGCCTCAGGAGGCTGAGGCCCAGCTCCCTGGATGTCCCCAACCTTGGCCCTTCACTGGCCACTGTCACCTGTGCTCCTCCAGGCCACTCACCTTCATGCCAGAAAAAGACATTGGGCTGCAGGGCACTGGGGTCCACGTTGGTGACAGCGACCAGCACGTCCCGCAGGCTGGTGTTTCTGATTTCCGCAATCTCCTCCCTGGAGAACAGCCTAGGTCCGGGAAAGGCAGGAGTGGTTGGGTTGAGAAAGGGCAGGCAGGCGGTTCTCCAGCAACCCCAGGCCCAAGGACTTGAGTGAGAAAAGAGACTCTGAGGTCCATTTGGGAGTCAGGGGCCTAAGGGGGCTGCGTGAAGCCAGGCTGGGGCTCTGGGAGCCCAGATCAGGTGGAATCGGAGGTGGGGCCCAGCAGTCCTTACCCATTCCTGGTGTTCTCAAACCAGTAGCGGTCACCATCGCGCAGCCGCACAAACTGGCTAAGAACAATGGCACTGAACAGGGGCCCAGGGTCGCCATAGCTCTCCAGGAGCCCCCCTGGGAGCAGCTCCAGCCGGGACAGGTCCTGGTGGTATAGGGCAGCTGTGGCCTCCAGCACCTGGGGGCATCACAGGAGGTAGGGAGTGCACGTGAGTCGGTGAGGGCAGCCACCAGTGTCCCAGCTCTCAGACACGTGGCCTCAGCAGCTGCCTGGCTTACTGCTCAGTCCTGGGGAGTCTCCTCTTCCTAGAGGTGTGTCCTTCCCCAAGGCGAGACCGCTGCCAGGTGTCTGAGGGCCACATCCTATGGCCATTGCTTTCCAGACTACCTGGCCTGAATGAGTAGCAGCTTCTGGGGCATCCAACCCATGGGGTACACGGACAGGATAACGACACCCAAGCCAGATAGGGAACAACATGGTAGCTGGGAGCATACTCTGAGTCATGGATGGATTTAAATCATGTCTCTACAACTCATCAACAAGGTCACCAACAAAATGGAAGCTATGATAGCTTATAATATTCTTATATAGAGGACTTGGAATGATATGGCCATAGGAAAGCTTTAGCTGCTATTATTATCATTGTCACTCCTGACCTTGGGGTCCACATGTGGGTTGAGGTCACTCCAGTTCTTCGGGGGCTCCAGCCCTAAGGCCAGCAGGGCCTGGGTATAGCTGGGCAGCCCCATGTCTCGGCCACGCTGGATGCTGTTGGCCACATAGTCCGAGCGGGAGAACTTGTCAGGGCCAGGCCAGTAATCTGGGGGAGGAGAGAAGGCCAGACAGTGGGCTCAGTCCTCCCAGCCCTTCTTGGGTCTGCAACTTTGCATCTGGCTGGCCGCAGCACCCTCCCTCCCCCTGCCCCCAGCACCCCTCTACACGAGACCTGAATCCACACTAGCCTTGTCTCGGTGTGTGACCAGTGTCACATGTGAGACCTAACTAAGCACAAAGGTCCCCCCAGCCCTGCCCCAACACTCACAATTAACTTAAAAGCAACACAAAAATGTAAATTAAGCATAAAAACTGCTCAACGTTCATTGTCTTTTAATGAATGTTTGAAGGCTAACGCATGTTTCTGCATCTCAGGTACCCTCGGTCTGCCTGCTGATGAACCCGGCCGGGTCCCCAGGATTCCCTGGCCCTGGACGCCCATCCCTCCTAGCTCTGAGCTCACCCCGCAGATCCTCCACCACTATCCTGTCCTCCAGTTCGGAAATCTGGGAGGCCATCCCCAGCAGCAGCTGATTCACCTCCTGGGCACTGTTCAGGTGGGGGTTCTGGAAGCAAACAATACCATAGGCTCAAGACAGGCTTGAGGGGCCCTCCCCAAAGTTCCGTCCCTCTCACCCTGGACCACTGCCACACCTAAGGACAAAGGACCCCTGGCCAGCCCAGAATCTCAGGAGCAACACCCAAGAACTGAAATGGTTGCTTTACCCAGACTGCGTAAAGACACTGACCTTGACCCACCTCCCCTCGACCCTGCCCCCAGGCTGACCTCCCGAATCCAGTAGCTGTTGCAGACCCTCAGAGCTGGGGAGCTGCCAAAACCCTTGTTGAGGACCTCCTGGAAATGACAGCTGGCATTTCTGAAATAGAGAATCGCAGATGCGGTGAGGACATTCAAGGCAGAAGCTAAGATGGGGTTCAGTGGGGTGAGGGGTTCGTCCAGGGGTTAGCCAGAATCACCAGGTGGCCCTAGAGCTTCCTTGAACACAGCGTGAAAACAGAGTGAGCTCTTTGCAGGTGGAGGGAGAAGGGTGACCCAGATGCTATTCAAAGCCTACACTCATCGATCAGAGTTCTGCCAAGAGGAAGTTTAGGGATTTCCCTACAAAACCCAGCCTTCTCCCCAGGCTCCTGTTTCAGGGCCATCTCCATTGAAACCCTGTGTGAAAGGCCCCAGGCCCCAGGCGGGAGCTCCTTCTGCACCTGTACCACAGAGCTGTGCCCTCCCACTGCCTGCTCTCTCTCACCTCATGTAGACGCCAGGGGGCACCATGGTGGAGAAGAACTGTTGAGAGGCCACCACGAACTCCGGGGAGACGCTGGGGTCCAGGAAAGGGCGGTACCCTGCAGGAGAGGGGCAGGAAAGGAGCTAGGCTCCCCAGTCCTATGGCTTCGGATCGCAGGCACCCGCCCGTCTTCTTGCCCCCTTGGATACTCAGTCCAGGTGTTCCCCCAACTCCCTCACCCGCATACTCCGGGGGCGTTTGCTGCAGGAAGCTGGGCAGCCACTCGTACAGGGCGATGTTCTGTGGGGCAGAGAGAGGGGAGGCACCGGTGCGTTGGACCGGCCGGGGCCGGGAGGGATCTGGGCCCGACGAAGGCAGAGGGGCGCGGGTGCGGGCGCGGGTCAGGTGGGGGCTGTCTTGCGAGCAGCGACGCTAACAGGAGCCGTGGGAGGCCTGACCCCACAAGGAACTGCGGCTAGGGGGTAACTTGCGAGTAGGAGGAGGGCCGGGGCCACGCGGACGCAGAAGCTCAGTAAGCACCACGAGCAGAACCTCTCGGACAAACGGCACTTTCCCTCCCGCTCCCTTCCAGGGGCTTTGCCCAGACGCCAGCCCTCCACCCACCCCTACCCCCGGGACCGCGCGTCCTCCCGGATAGGGGCGTTTCCGGGCGGGGGCTGTGTGGCGGAGCGCGGTCTCCCCCGACGCGCGCGCGGGTAGCGGGCGAGGCCGGGCGCCCACCTGGTAGGTGGCGATGACCCTCTTGCGCGCGTGCTGGAACAGCTCCTCGTCGCTCCAGCGCGGGTGCTCGCGCGCCAGCCTCTGTGCCCACAGGTTGTGGTAGCGGAACCAGAGCAGGCCCAGCGCCTGCAGGAAGGGCTCCTGGTTCCCTCGCTCGGCCCCGAAGGCTGCGGCGGACGCGGGAGGCGGGCACGAGAGGAGCGGCGGCGTGAGTCGGCGGCGCCCGAACGCGCCCACCCCAGCCCGCGCCCGCGCCCGCGCCCGCGGCCTCACCGAACAGCCCCTGGGCCCCGCGCTGGCCGGTGGCGGGGTCGGGCGGCGTCCACATGAGCAGGGGGTCCTGCGCGCCCCGGGGGAAGGCGGGGTCGGGCCCGGACGCCAGCTGCCCCCCGGAGAAGCTCCGCAGCGCGTCGCTCCACGAGTGCGAGGAGCCGTAGATGGCGCTGCCGTCCAGCCAGCCGGTCACCCCATTGGTCTGTGGGGACACCGGGCGGCTAAGCCTTGAGTCGGGTTAGCGGAGGCGGGGCAGGGTTGGGCCGGGGCCGGGCGCGCGGGCGTCCGCGGGTGGCGAGTGGGAGCGGGCGAGAGCCGAGAGCCCCACGGACCCCGGTCCGGGCTCCGCCCGCCATCCGCCCGGCCTCACCAGGTCTCGCGGGTTGCTGGGACTCCGTCCTGTCTCGGGGTCCCAGCGGCTCCTCTGGTAGGGCAGCACCACGTCTCCCCGCCCGTCGGGGTCGAACACGGGGTCGCCAGGCGGGATGTAGATGTTGAGGAACTCGGCGGGGCAGCCAGGGGTCTCCACGCTCACCACGTCGGAGAGCACGTGGTAGCCTGCGGGATTGGGGAGCAAACTGGTGAGCAAACCGCCCGCATCACTCTTGCCACCGGTTCCCCAGAACCCGACCGCAGGGGTTAGCCTCGGAGCTCCGCTGCCAGCTCTGTGGCTAAGCCCCAAGAGAGCCCCAGGTTCCTAATATGCAAAGCAAGAATGTTGGGTTCTGGCCAGTCACCGCCTAAGGTTGCTGCAACCCTACACGTTCAATGGAGGGTTTTCCCCCACGCCAGTCCTCTCTCTCTGCAGGACAGGAAGACGGTGGTGTGGACTCCATTCTGCTAGCTAGGATGGAGACCCAGTGGCATTCTTGGGGAAGAGAAAGATGAGAGGAGTTTATATTCCTGCACCGATCCCGAACAGCTTCTCTGAGATGATGGCAGCCTTGCTGCGCTGTTTGGAGGGGCAGAAGCGGTTGGGAAACTCGGCTTGGTCTCCTGCGGACTGGCAGCGGAGCCTCTGGGTCCCTCTCCTCCAGCGCTGAGCGCCAAGCCCCGACTCAAAACCCCAGTGGTTTCCCCTTTGGCTCTCACCAAAGAAGACCCCCAGCACGGTGCGGTTGCGGATCGATGCCAGGCCGGCTTTGCCCCGCGTGGCTGCGTCGCTGAGCAGGCGCGGGTTAGGCATCAGCGGCTCCTCCAGGACTTGATACACGCCATCCGCGTAATTGGCTGGCACTAGGCGCTGCAGCCGCGAGCCTGAGGGAGGCAGGGGGCCGGGTTCGCGAGGAGCAGCCATCCCCAAGGAGCGCCCGAACCTCAACCACCGGCTTTCAGGGACTGGATCCCTTGGCCTCGGGAGTGCGTGAAAGGGCGCTGCGCGTTCCCAGCTTCCCGGCTTAGGGTCTCCGCGGCCACCACCCGCCGGGGACCCGGGACGCACCAGCAGCTCCACGCTCGTGGTGTCTCAGATTGTTGAACCAGCCATCGTAGCGCTGCACTTCCCAGGGCAGTGGGGGTGCGTCCTGGCCTCCTGTGGGCACAGATAGCAGCACCCTCAGCGCTAGCCTTCCAGCGACTAACCCAGCACCCGACGGCCAGTTCTGCCCTCTCCCAGCTCAGCGAGCGCCTCCGACGGGACCCACGTGGCTATACTTGGCTCAGTGTCCAGGCCGCGCTGCGGTTTCCCGTCCCTCCGAACTGTGGAGACCTCTTCCTGACCCTGCCACCTCAGGGAGCCGCTTACCTGCCCCTCTCCAGTTCCCCACCACCACCCCCAGGGGATACCGGGTGACACTTCCTAGCCTCAGGTGCCTGACACTTACTTGCTGGATCCAGAGGTCCAGTGAGCAGAGCTCCCAGGAGCACCAGGGCCTCTAGTCTTGCGTGCTGCATACTGATCCTGCAGGCTGGGGGTGAGTGGGGTGTGTGAGCCACGAACACCGGCTACCACTCCACGCACTCTCCGACGGGTCGTGCCGCCAGAGAAGGCGCGCCAGCTGTGGCCAGTTCTGGAGCCAAACTGTTGGGAGCATCCCTGAGCACCTGCATTTGCATGCCAGTCTGTCCGAGACCACTGGCAGCTCTGGAGGTGTTGGCGCTGCTCGCCACCTTTCACCCTGTTCTGCAGCTAACTTCGGACACAAGGGCACGAGTCCTCTGGGGCTTGTGAGTCCCCAGAAGGACTGGTCAGCGTTCCAGGGCCCTGGCCCAACGCCTGCAAACTGCCCTCAGCCTCTTAAGTACCGCTTCTTCCAGAGGTGGTAGGGAAGAGCAAGACTAATGAGCCGGGACCCCAGGACCCAAAGCCCACCCAGCCTCCCGCAAACAAGCGCCTGAGCGTGACGGGCCAGAGGTTGGGGAAGCCAGGCTCCCAACTCTTGGTGCAGCCTCCGGGGTAAGGCTCCCGTGGGCTTCAGGCGTCGTCTCCGCTCTTGCAGTCTTTGCCTCTCTGCTCTGCTGCCGGCTTCCACTCCCCAAGCCCCGCGGATCCTCAGCCTTCCCAGCTGCACTCTCACCCTGTGCTCCGAGTCCTCAGTCTCGCCGCTGCACAGGTGTCAACTCAGGCCAGACCTGGCGTCAGGTGTGAATATCTGGACCCAGGGCTCGCCCATCTGCTGTGAAGGCGGGGCTCCTCTCATTTGCATAACGCCCTCCGCCCCTCATTTGCATGACCTCTTCCCGCTTGGACCCTGCCGCCGGGGCAGGTAGGGACGACCTACCACCACGTTCCTATAAAAGGGGTCCGGGTTCCGCTCAATTTCCAAACGCAGCAGAGCCGGCCAAGTAATCCATCAAGACCAGTGAGAAATAATTAAGCTCGCTGGCTAGCCCGGCTCTGCCTACGCCAAACCCAGGACGCTCCGGGACAACGGGACTCTGCATTTCCTCGGGGCGGAGCCGCCGGGCTCACATTTGACGGTACCCCCAAGGTTCCAGCGACCTCAGCCCGCCCGCCCAGCCTGTCGACAGGATGACTCTGTGGAACGGTGTGCTGCCGTTCTACCCCCAGTCCCCGCATGCGGCCGGCTTCTGCGTGCCTCTGCTCATAGTCATTGTGGTCTTCTTGGCCTTTGCTGGCAGCTTCCTGCTCATTTTGCCTGGGATCCGCGGTCACTCGGTAAGGGATGCGGGGGAAGCTCGGGGAGGAGGAACGGGCATCCAAGACAGATAAGGGTGTCAAGGGCCTCCAAGAGGAGTCAAGCTGAGGCTCAGGTAGAGCAAATTTCCAAGGCTGCTGCAGCCAGCACCGCTTCCCAGGAACATTCTGGAGAGAGACCCTGTCCCCAGCTGCTGCACAGACAGGGTGCCCAGTTCAGTAATCCTAGAGCAGATTCTGGGCTTCACATGCCACCGGGGCCTCCCACCTCCATCCAGACTCTGCAGTCCCACCCTGGTTGTTCCTCTGCACCGGCTTAGAGCCAAGAGGACAGCCAGCCACGGCCAGCAGCTCCGGCTACTAGGTTCCTCTTTGTGTCGGGTTAACATACAGGTGTCTGGGTGCACCACCCTCAAGGCTCAGAATTCCAGACTGGATCCCAAGTCTGGGTGTATTTCATCAGACTCCCCTCCTCCTGCAGAACCTGGGCTGTGCATTTTTTTCTAGTCTGAGAGGGTCCAGGGCTTCTTTGTCTTGCTCTGTGTTGGTTTCCCAGGGAACTGGTGTGCCCAGAAGTACGTCTGCATTGCCAGCTCCTCTTACCTGGCCACCAGGCCCTAGGGCCTCCCTCTTCTGGAGGCAATGACCCTGGCCTGCCTGGCACTTCTAGACTCACTGAGCCTCAACCAGAAGTGACTGGACCAGGAAGTGGGGCCAGATCGGGCGCCAGACGACTGGGGGATTGAAGGTGGCTGGCTGCAGGGCGGACCGGGAAGTGCGGCTGGGGAGGGGGAAGCACAGGCCAGAGGACATCAGAAATGCCAGTGGCCCAAGGGCAGTCTCAGAAAAGCATGCCCAGCAGCGGCCTCCAAAGGTCAGGCGCGTGACTAAAGACTGAGGTAGAGCGGGGTCACTGGAGGTCTCGGGGACTCCCTGGGGCAGTGCCCTGATGGGAGTGCCTATTCCTGCAGCGCTGGTTCTGGTTGGTGAGAGTTCTTCTCAGTCTGTTCATAGGCGGAGAAATCGTGGGTGAGTGTGCGGTGCAGCCCAAGGGGAGGGGAATGGGCCCAAGGAAGGAGGCGGGAGGGGTTGGTTTCCTGCTGCCTCTTCCCAGCTCCAGCTCGTTCTTAGTGCTGGCTTCCCTGCCCTTACCATGCGCTTACCCTGGCCCCTAGACCCGGATGTCTCTGCACAGTTCCACATCCCATCACCCCTCTCCTAATTCACCTCTTCATCCCCACCCCTGTCGCTTGGTGTGCCCACAGCTGTGCACTTCAGCGGAGAATGGTTCGTGGGTGGAGTGTTCACCAACACATCCTACAAAGCCTTCAGCACGGAGCAAGTGCAAGGCCACGTGGGTCTGCACGTGGGCCTGGTGGGTGTCAATATCACGCTCAAAGGTGAGGAGGCTGCGGCCAGGCGGATTCCTGGCGCCGGGGATTGGAGCAGGGGCAGCTCGGAGGACCGCTCACAGCCCACAGCCCAGCTAGCCTCTCTCCTCGGGCTCGCCCCACCCCTACTCTCCCATCCGAAGCCGCTCCTGTCTGAAGCTGCCCGGGTCCTTTGGCTGTGCGCAGGGACTCCCGTGAAGCAGTTGAATGAGACCATTGACTACAACGAGCAGTTCACCTGGCGTCTGGACGAGGACTACACCAAGGAGTACGTGGACGCGCTGCAGAAGGGACTGCCGGACCCGGTGCTGTACCTAGCGGAGAAGTTCACGCCGAGCAGCCCTTGCGGCCTGTACCAAAAGTACCACTTGGCGGGCCACTACGCCTCGGCCACGCTGTGGTGAGCCTGGGGGAAGGCCCGCCGCGCTCGGCTTGATTGCGGGCGGGAGGATCTGGAGGGCCGCGAGGGAGTCCAGAGAGGCCCAGCAATGGTCTGGCGCTCGGGAGCCTGCTTCTCCCCCCAAAGCCCTTCCCCGGGGATTCCCCTGCGCCTCCGCGGCCTCCGCGCAGCGGTAGCACCGGCCGGGGAGCGAGGCTGCGGGAACCGGGGCGCGCGGGGCACGGCTGTTCACGGTCGCCCCCTCCCACAGGGTGGCCTTCTGCTTCTGGGTCATCACCAACGCGCTGCTCTCCATGCCGGCCCCGCTCTACGGCGGCCTGGGGCTCCTGGTCACTGGCGCCTTCGTCCTCTTCTCTATCTTCGCCTTCGCTTCCATCTCCACCGTGCCGGTCTGCCCGCTCCGCCTCGGCTCCTCGGCATTCGTCACGTACTACGGCGCCGCCTTTTGGGTCACGTTGGCAACAGGTGGGGACCGAGGCGGCGGGCGCTGGGCGCTGGGCATTGGGCGGCGGCGGGTGCGGACGCGGTTCCCAGCGGTTGAGCGCGCAGGTTCCAGCTTGCAAAATGAGTTCCCATCTACCATCTTGGCGCACGGGCACCACTGTGCCCATTTTGCAGATGAGGTTCAGAAGGGCTCGGTTAGCGCGCGAGCCCGGGGATGGTGCCCTCCGCGTCAGAAGCCCTTTTGCGAGGGGTGTGTGTGTGTGTGTGTGTGTGTGTCTGGGGAGCAAGCTGAGGGGTTGGCTCCAACAGATGGGGCTGGGGTGCCAGGCTCTGACCTGGATCCCTGCTTCCCTCCCCCTGCCGCTCTCTCTCGGGCGGCGCCGCAGGCATCCTGTGCCTGCTGCTCGGAGGGGCAGTGGTGTGTGCCCACTACGCTGCACCCAGCGCTCTCCGCACCTTTCTGGACCTCCGCGACCTCGACTACAGCGGCCTGGAGAAAGAAGGCGGCGCGCCCCTCTTCCTCAGCAACGCTCTGGACAAGCAGTTCCAGCCCCCGGACTTCAGCATCACCACAAACCTGTGAAGGGGACGCCACTCCGGACTCCCACCCCGCCTCGGGGCCACGCGGGCCGGGAACCAGTGCCCGCCAGCACCCAGGGATAGGCAGGCAGCGTCTGACGGTGCCGCACGCGCCAGGGATGCGGGGTGAACTGTGAATAAACTTTTTTGTTTAAAAAACAAAACTCTCCCACCCCACCCCCACTACTTTCCAAGGCTTCTCTGGGCTGTCGGAGAGCCACGCCCTCGGCCGGCTTCGCTGGGCTGACCACAGCCTAGTATTGCTGGTTCTCTCTCTGCGCTGCTGCGGCTCCAGAAACTTCCTCTCGGCAAAAGCCAGAGTAACCCGGGAAGGCGCTGGGAGAGAGCGCCCTCTAGTGAGGCCGGAGGGGAACGACTGTAACCAGCAGCCTCTGAGCCGCCCCAGAGAGTGTTGGCTCTCATCCTCCTAGCTGAGTGGAGTTGATTCGCTAACTCCTTCCACTGGGCTTCATTTGGGGTTGTCTGAGAGCCAAGGTAAATGTCGGCAAGGCATAAAAAAAATCAATACTAGAATTTTTGGTTTTTTTTTTTAGGTCCTTTGCAAGCCCTACAATCTTATTTAACACATTTAAGAACTGAATTCAAAGAGACGGTGGCACGGGTGGTTCGTGTAAGATCCGGAATGGGGAGCTGGGTCTCTTCTCCCTTCCAGTGCTGTCCTGCATTGTACCAAGAGGTCAGACAAGCCGGGGAGGTGAAGGAAGAACGAAAGGGACCCAGGAAACAGAAAATAAGAGATGGATCACACACACAGGTCATGTGGGTGGAGCTGGGTGTCAGTGAGTGGCTCCTTGAGGAGGCAAAGCATCTAGGGAAGGCAGGGCTGCTGTGCAGAGACACGGGCGGCCCCTGCTGGGCCCCTGCATGGGAGCAGGAGGAACCCAACACCCCTTCAGCACCTTAGGGCTTTTGTTTTGTTCTCTCTTTAACAAAAAGTAGAGCCTCCTCTTCCTACATTGGAGCTGAGGGTCCGATCAGCTCACCCTGCGGGAGGTCCTGGCAGTTCCATGGGGCCCCAGTGAGGTCTGCAGCCAGACTGGAGGTCCAGGTGGCCGCCGGGCAGGGGGACATTAGCAGGCACAGTCAGGCTCGCGGGGGCACACCTCGCTGCAGCACACCTCCGAGGAGGCCTCCGACAGAGCAATGTCCTGGGGCTCCGGACTCTCCGCCATGGACCGGTAGCGGGGAATCAGGAGGCCCCCTTCCGCGGGACCCAGCTGCAGCGGGTCCTCCTCTGCACTCTGGTTAAAGAAAGCCTTCAGCCTGTGGGGCTGCATCCTGTGGGCCACCAGCATGGCCAGGCCCAGCAGCACGCACAGTAGTCCTGTGGATGACAGCAACGGGTGTCCCACCTTAGCCACAGGGAAGCCCTCCCAAAGACATCTTCCCCCAAGAGCATGCCCCAGGAGACATCTTCCCCCAGGAGTCCCTGACCCAGGGCAACTTGGACCCAGAGCGGTAACAGGTTGGGGTCATTTGGCTGGTGTGTCTCTGTTGCCCTGGTTCTAGACTCCAAGCCCAGGGCTCTTTACATTATATCCAGGGAGAGGGAGAGAAGGGAAAGGGAGACAGAGAGGTCTGAAACCCAAGAGAAGCCCTGGGAAGGGTAGAGCACAGAGGTGGCAGGGGAGGGCATGAAGGGGTGGAGGCAGTGGGACAGGAGAGGAGGACGAAACCACAGGACAGGTTAGGGACACAGAAGGGGCCTAGGAACGGGACACAGAGAGGGTGTTTGGGAGAAGTGGGAAAGGACGTGGGTTTGGAAGATTTAGGAAGGAGCTGGGTGAAGTGAGATGTCGGGGATGAGAGACATGACAAGAGGAGGAGGTGGGAGAGGAAGCAGCACTGGGGAGAGACATCCAGGACAGTGGGCACCTGAGAGGGATGGGGCCTTAAAGAGGTGTGGGTGATCCTGTGCCTGGCTGGGAGACTGCCTGCCTAGCCCATGCAGGAGGTTGAGGGGACATGGCCAGGGAAGGACTCTATGACCTTACTGCTGGCAGGCAGCAGGAGCCCCAGGCACATTCCCCACCACCACCACCACCACCAAACCCCTACCCCACTTCCTGTAGAAGGGCCTTGTAATTAATCAGGTAAACAGCTCCCTGGTGTGGCCCAGACCCATAAGGACCACTTGGAAGGCTACATAGGCTACATGACCTTCAAGCTGATTGGAGAAGCATAGCGGTGCCAATATTGACTTTATCCTATAGAATTAGTGTCACCCTGAACTACTACACCCTCTCTTTGCCTGCCCATTAAAAGCTTGTGGCTGATTGTTAATAAATGGACATGTTCACTGAAACTTGTCTCTAGTGCTTCTTGTCGAAGAACACCGTCACCCCACCATCCTGACAGTGTGGGCCTCGCAGGACAAGCCTGAAAGAGAGGGAGGGGGCACACTGGCCCCCAGGACCCCCACCCTGATGGTCCCTGGCCCTGAGCCCTCTGGCGCCTGTCTGTAGGGGGTGTCTCACCTGTGGTCAAGGTGATCCAGAAGGCAGGCCCATGGCGAGTGTGCAGCACAGCAGTGCCCAGGCGCAAGGGACACGGTGGGCTGAGGGCTGTGACCGTGGAGAAGATGAGCAGGGCCAGCAGCTGGGAGATGCCTGTGGCCAGCAACATGTGGCCCCCGTAGACCAGCGCGGGCATGGACAGCATCACATTGGCCAGCAGCCAGCAGAGGAATGCCACCCTGGAGAGCCAGGGCCCAGTGAGGGTGGCCCAGGCTCCTCGACCTGCCAGGGAAGCTGGAGGGTCCTATAGAGGGAGGCTCAGGGGCCCAAGGGTGCCCCAAAGGTGTGAAGTCGGGGTTTCTGCCTGTGGACTTCCCAGTCAAGCACTGTGGTGATGGACACCAGCCTGTCCCGCCTGGGATATCCACAGGAGTGGAGGCAAGATAGGTTGAACCCGTGTCCCCTCCCTCCCCGTGCTCACCACAGCATGGCTGAGACGTAGTGTCCTGCCTGGCGGTATGGGTAGTGCAGGCCACACGGGCTTTGTGGGGTGAACTTCTCAGCCAGATAGAGCACAGGGTCTGGCAGCCCCTTCTCCAGGGCCTTTGCGTAGGCCTCCTCATAGTGCTCGCCCAGGCGCCAGGTGAGCTCCTCATTGTAACTGATGGTCTCATTCAGCTGATGCACTGGGGTCCCTGGGGAATGAATGGGGCAGCTGTGTTCAGCAAGGAGTCGAGGGCAGAAGGAGAGGAGCTGGCTCCCTCTGTTGACAGAAGGCAGCTTTGAATTTCCCTTCCTGCCCCTCCCCCGCTCCTGCTCACCCTGGGTGCCCGCATGCATGCTTAGCTCTTGGGACCACACCAAAGACACAGAGAGCACAGCCGTCCCCTCCTTCCCAGGAGGAGCCCTCCCTCACCTGTGAGCGTGATGTTGACGCCTCCCAGGCCGATCTGCAGCCCCACGTCGGCGCTGATCCACTCGGAACTGAAGGCTTTGTATGTTGTGTTGGTACTGATCTGACCCACAGACCACTCAGAACTGAAATTCACAGCTGGGGTTGGGAGTTGAACACATGGGAACTCAGGCAGGTCTGGGCGTTACTGGGTTAGCGTCAGAAGGAGCGTTACAAGGGCTCCGTGTCTGTTTGGGTCCTAATTGTATACCTGCTAACCAGTCCAGGGACTGGATCCTGGGCAGCCTGCCAATCGTATGTGTGGGCTGCCTGCTTGGTCATACTCCCCACTCCCCATTTAGGGAGAGTCACTCAGGCAGTGGGGGAGGAAGCACCAGCCTAACCCACGACAGGCAAACCAATGGCTTGAGCAGAGACTCTCCATGGCTCCTGTTTGCCCAGTCACCAAAGCCAGGCAGGCAGCAGTCCCCATCTCCTCTGCTCCTGTCTAGAGCCCCTCTCCCCACAGACATTCATTTGGGCCTGCTCTCCCCTGGGTAGAAACGCGACAGGTTGAGGAGAGGCACCTAGCATGGCCACACCCCTCGGGGCTAGGGTAAGAGGAAAAGGGTTAAGGCCGTGGTGGGAGAGGTGGGCAGGCAGCGTGTGGAGGCCACCCTGAAGCAGCGACCGCCGTGGGGACACAGGGAGAGGAGAGGCAGGCTGCTGAGGCAGCCCCATGGGCCAGAGGCACTTGCCCGAGTCAGCTGTGCTTGGCACTCACCCAGGACCACAGCCCCGATGAATAAGCTGGTCACCACCCGCAGCAGCCAGAACAGCCTCTGAGTCACAGGATGGGAGAGTGGGGTTAGTAAGCAGTGCCTTCCTTCCAAGCCCACCCTTCCTTCCTCTTGCCAGTCTCGGGGGTAGGCTAGGCATTCAGCAACCGATGTCACTTGATTAATTGAGATCGGAGTGTCTGGCACACATAGTAGGTGCTCAACAATTATTTTTTGACTCAGTGAGTGGGGGAGCTCTCCACTGTATGTGTGGTGGGAAAGGGGGTCTCTTCCCTGAGGCTGGTGGCAGTCAGAAGGTCTCCGGGGATGGGGTTGCTTCTTACCATCTTGCCCCGGATGCCGGGCAGGATGACGATGAAAGTGACCAGTGCAGTCAGGAAGATGGTGATGATGACGGCCAAACTGGTGTCTATTGGGAAGGTTGGCTTGGCGCCAGCATAGAAGGGGAACGTGTGTCCGAAAGCCGCCATTCTGCTGGAGGGCTGCAGGGAGGCAACGCTGTACAACAACGATGGACGTCTGTTGAGTGCCCTCTAGCACCAGGTATTGCTCTTGGTGCCAGGGACACAGCAAAGAACAAGGTGGACCAGATGCCCTTCTCTGGAGCCTGCATTCCAATGCCTCACCAGGCTCCCTGGCACTGCCATTCCACGGCTCTCAGCCATCCAGCTCCCCAAGTATCGGCTGACAGAACCAGGGTCTTGGCAATCGGTCTCGGTGCCCCAGGTCCCCATAGCACTGTCTCCACTACCTGTTTCTTCTGAGACTTTTCTTAAGATATATAATAATGTCCTTTCTTCTCCCTTGGGCCTATCGCACAAGCAGATAGATCACAGACATAAAAAGAGCTACATTTACTATTAAGTGGTGGCATAAGGGTCAAAGAGGGCCCAGCGGACCAAACAGTTGGCTTTCTGTCCCCAAAGGAACAAAGGCCAGACAGCTCTGCTAAGTATATAATCCAGCTGTGTCACTAGAGGATGGATTCCCAGACCTGGCACTGCCCACACTGGCCCGTCCAGCTTTCTCAAGCCCCCGAGCTCCTGTTCCGGCCATTCCAGAACAACTGAGCTTGATTCGGTTCACCTGGGTAAGCAGTGAAGTGGCCTCTCCCCTCCACTAAGCACAGAGCCAGGGCCGGCAGTCCTTCCAGGCCACACATCATCCACACTGGCCCTTCCTTTCCTTTCCAATGCCCAGGCCTTGTTACTGCTCACACCCTGGCTTGGTCTTCTCAGCCTATCCCCTAACCTCAGAGCTTATCTGAGTCTAGTTTGTCCTGTTGCCTACAGGATATTGGGGAAACTGCACTTGAACTTACTATGTTTAGCTAAATTTCAGACAGAAGGGGTTGCAAGATACACAACTATTTTATGTACCACAAAGAATAAAAACGTATTGTGAATGAAAGCCTGACAGTCACTGTTGGCAAGACTCATCACAGTTTTGGAGATGTAAAAACGTGGGGGGAAGTCTGTTGGAATCAACAGTCCCAGTCCTGCTCATTTCCCGGCTGTGATCTGGGCTGCCCTGGGGTCTCAGTTTGCCCAGGAGGTTCCATCATGCATTCGCACTGCACGGTGTCTTGTTAAGTGATGCAGGAAAGGATCAGCTTGAGACTCAGTTCCAACAGGTTTGGATTCTCCCGCTGCCTCTTGCAATTTATTTGATTTCTGCAGAGACCCAGTTTTCTTTTAAAATGGAGATAATAATGTCACCCAATAGGGTTATTCAGAAGATGAAATGAGATTGTGTGTGTAACGCATCAAGGATCGTGCTGGGGACAAATTACCAAGCTGGGGAGAAGACGGCATTTCATTACTCCATGTTCCTCTTTCTCCAATCCTTCCTGGAGAGAACCCTGGGCTGGGGTCAGTTCTGGGTTTAGTTGCACTTTCTCACCGACTCACGTAACACTGGACAGGAAGTGACAAGCCCGTGGTCCTTGGCTGCCTCATGTTAATTGGATAAGACCATCTCTGTGTGCTTTCCGGGTCCAGTGGTAGGACTCTCCCACTATACACTCCAGCTGCCAGCCTTCCCCATCTGCCAAGCTGCTCACTCCTTATGCTGCCTCTGGGAGCACAGCATGACATCGGGCAGAGACACAGTTTTAACTTTAGATCCTGTGTTTTGGACAACTTGCATAACCCCTGCGTCTCAGTTTTCACATGAAGTCTTTGTTTCTTCACTGTCCAACCCTGCCAGCCCAGAGGAAGCAGTGTCTCTCTTCTTTCCATTTTGCTCTCCTCTGTTCCACACCTGCCTGGAGAACCATGGCTTTACCTTCGGCTGTCCCTCTTCCCCTTCATAGCTTTTCCACATCTTCGTCTGCTGGCTCCTCCCGAGGATATGCTTAATAGTTTCCTTCTCAAAAACACAAATAAGGAGCTGGTGCTGTGGTGTAGTGGATAAAGCCGCAGCCTGCAGTGCCGACATCCTATATGGACACCAGTTCAAGACATTGCTGCTCTGTGGGGAGCAACCCGGACTAGACTAAGTTACTGGAATTAAGACTTATTCTATGCATCTGCTCTCCCACAATATGGCGCTGAGAAGGGAGAAACAGCTTCTACACAGCTGCCTCCAGTTCAACCAATAAACTGTAGGACCTGCTCCTGATTGCAGGAGAGCAGCGTACTCGGCGTGTGGGTAGCAGAGTTGGGATTGGTGGAAGAGGACTATAAAGGAGGAGAGAGACAACATGCACCAGGAACATCTAGCTGAAGGAACACCTGTGTAACCCCCGAGAGAGCCGGCCGGCGGTGTGCCGCTCCCCCGCGGAAGTGGGGAAAGTGGCCGGGGGAACCGCCCTTCCACGGAGGTGGAAGGGACGGTAGCCAACCTGGGAAGAACCAGCAGCAAACCCGGGGAGGGCCGAGCAGACAAAAGAACAGCTCAGGGTCCTGTGTCGTTCCTCCACGAAGACGGGGAGCGACACTGCTCCACTTCTGATCCAGCTCTCTGCTATGGCCTGGGAAAGCAGTAGAAGATGGCCCAAGTCCTTGGGTCCCTGCATCCACATGGGAGACCCGGAAGAAACTCTTGGCTCCTGGCTTCAGATCGGCCCAGCTCTGGCCACTGCAGCCATTGGGGGAGTGAACCAGCAGATAGAAGACTTCTCTCTCTCTTTCTCTCTCTCTGCCTCTATGTAACACTGCCTTTTAAATAAATTTAAAAGTATATAAATCTTTTTAAAAACCCACAAATAAAAGGAACATTCTCCCTCACCATCCGATCCTACTCCCTTTCATAAGGAGGATTTTGGAAAGAATCATCTCCATCAGTAATGTCACCGCCTTATCTCCTCGTCCCTGCCTTCCCCATTAAGTCACTAGGTGTGAAGTCCAGAGGGATGCGTATAGCTTGTACGTTTCACCCCTCTCCACCCCTGAAGCTGAAGACACTACTCTTGAAGGGTGGGAAGGTGTTTGTCCAGGCTCTGAGAGCATTCCAGGTATAGAGTCAGCATCTACCAAGGCAGGAAGGCTTGAGAGAACATGTCACTTGACGCTGGAGACCATACTCTTCAAACTTTTCCTCCTAGCATCTCCAGGACACCATTTTTTCCTGCCTTGGGCCATCCTTTTCTCAGACCCTCTGCTAGTTCTTCCTCCTCCCTGGTAAATGCTTCCAGGACCCTGTCTTAGCTCCACTCTCAGCATGGTTTAACATTCCCTGGGCAATGATATCCACTCCCATGGCTGCTGGTGCCCAGCGTCTCCAGGAGGTCTCCTACCTTAGCAACAAACACAAAAGGAACAACTGCACCGCGGTTATTAGGTGCTAATGGAATTCACTGTCTCTACCTTGCTTTTTATGCTTTTCAAAAACTTTGTCTCTTTGGCACCATCAACACTCCCTCAATCAAACAGGCCAGACACCAGGGACATCTTACCTTCAAAAGATGTCCTGGAACTATCCACAAACTTCCTTTCATATTGCCTCTGCCCAAATTGCACAAATCTCTTTCCTGGTGCCAGAATAATCTTTCTACTAAGCTAATATCACCATTTCACTTCCCTGCTCTGGGTGGGATCTAATCTTCTTACTGTCACAGATAATGTGCCTTGAGATCTGGTCTCACTTATCTCTCCATCTCCATCTTTTGCTCAGCCTAATCTATAGCCACTCTCAATTACTTGCCTCTGCCTGAACCTGACATGTTCTCTCAAGCCTTCCTGCCTTTGTAGATGCTAATTCTATGCCTGGAATGCTCTCAGAGCCTTGGCAAACACCTTCACACCCTTCAAGTCTCAGCCTGTGTTACCTCCTCCGCGAAGTCTCCTCTGACACCACTGGGCCAAGGTAGAAGTTCCCACCTCTAAGGTTCTGACTGCATTTTGAACGTACTTCCATGCTCACAACAATGGCACCGTACTCTAATTGTTTGAACATCTCTCTCCGTGTTAGGCTCTAACCTCCATCAGGGCAGGGACTTTATCGTCCCATCTTTGCATCCCTCATGAGCAGCATATACTAATCGGGCTCTGCATCAAATGAATGAGCACCACTCCTCACAGCACCTGCTTCTGATTTCCCACACAAGAGGGAGCTGTGCCTCCTCATTGCCCTGTGCTGGTTCATTCAGCACAGTCTGAGGGGCACCGCCCCTGGGGGCTGAGGACTGTACGGCAGGAGTTGGTGGGTCCTGTCAATTCTTAGTGACGTCAGACAATTTCAGAAAGCCTCTTCCAATGGCTGGGGTCTTCAAAATTAGTGAAGACCCAAATATGAATGTTCACATTTAAACACACATTTCAACCCTAGCTGAAGATGAGTAACTACGAGTTTGTGGATTATTTTGTAAAATATGTGACAGTGATATTTATTTTAAAGCAGATGCTTACTGGTCTAAAAGTTTTTAATTTATGACACCAACATTGAAGCCATTATATTTTATATGAAGGCTACAGAGGAAAAGTACATAAAGTGTAGGACGTCTTGGCTAATAAGGTAGGAAGCAAAGCAAGTGTGTTAATAGCAAGAACACACACATTTGCAATACAAGCAAATAATATAATGTATTTTTGTTCAAGATCACATATTAGCATTATTCCTGCATTTATTTTAATGAGAGGTCATAAAAATTTTTACAAGACTGGCTCATCTCTATTAACATGGTACTTCAAAGAAACATTAACAAAAGATTTTCTGTATCTTAAGTACAGGACATTGTTAACTTATTTCTAGTCCTCCAAAAAATATTTATTAAAGATGACTAAGGTAAAAAAAGACAGTTACTGAATAAAATCTGGACTTGCTTAATTTCTTCTTATTCAGTTTTAAGATTGAGGTCTTTCTTAATCTATATGGCCTAGTTTAAAATTGACTTCTCATGATTCTCTTCCTAATTTGATTTCCATTATGAAACTAACAGGGCTCCTGAACAGAGGAGGGACTGAAATGGAAAGTCCCCACCCCCAGCAATCCTGGGGAACCCCCAGGAACATCTTTCTCCCTGGCTTTTCAGGCAGGGTCTGACAGCAGGGTTTGTTCTAATCTGAGAAAAATCTCATGCCAACATCAACCTGACTTACTGCTCCCGTACCTCACCACCACAACTGCTATACACAGTGTATACAGATACAAATAAGCAGACACAAGGTGCAAGCAAACACACACCCACAAGCTTATGCAAACAGACACAGACACAACAAGAAGAAACAAGACTCTCTCATTCTCGGTAACACAGACACCTGTGTTACTCCATGACAATACCTGAGGTGGGCCACTCCCACACTGTGGGGTCTTCCCTTCTCACTCGCCTGGGGGTGGAGCGAGGCACTGTACTCCCTTCTGGACTCCCTTTAACACTGAAGGCTTTCCTCCTGTGGAGCTGCACTTCAGACACACTTACCCACCCTTCCCCTCCCACAGTGGGCGGTGAGGCCGTGTATACACCAGACGTGAGTAAGAATAAAGGTACGGTCTTCCAGCTCACAGCCTAGTACAAGCCCCAGTCTCCACCACGCAAAGTTCTGTGAGCGCCTAGCAGCCTTTCTTGTAGCTGGACAGGACTTTCCTCCCTGCCCACCTCTGCCATCTGCTGGATCCGGTAGAGTGAGGACTGCAATTCTCTACAGAGGGGGAACAGGTGACATGTGTGGACTGCCAGGAGCTCTGAGGCTGGCCTACTGGCATGTGGTGATTTCTTTCTGCGGTTGGAGTAGACCCTGTTAAAAGTTCACAGTGGTGGCTGGCCAAGGGGATCCTGTCAGGAACTCCTGTCCTGAACTTTCCTCTTAAGAAAGGAGTGTGTGTGTGTGTGTGTGTGTGTGTCCTCCTGCTGTTGCTCTACAAGAGGAGTTAAGTGGCAAAACAGAACAAACTTTGAAAAGTGAGTTGGCACAGGATCCCATTAAGGGCTAGTGTGCTGAGGCACTCCGGGGTGTGGGATCTCGCACGCCAGCCCTCCGAGACTGCAGCCAAGCCGGGATAAAGAGTCGGTGGCTATAAACTCTGCAGCGTTTACGGCCTTACCAGGTGTTCCTTGCCTCCTTAGTTTTTCATTAAACCTCTGCTTTGAAGAACTCTCGCTTGACTTGGATTTGGTCGGGGCGGCCGCGGGGAGTGTGCCCCCTAGGGGCCGGGGCTGGGATTGCACTTCAAGCCCCCTCCAAACCCACGTGGACCGCACATCGTAGCCGCTGCCCGCCCCGCCACCCTTACGGGACCACTGCTGCCTACCTTCGGTGCGTGCGTGGCAGTGGGCGCCGCTCGCCGTCTCCTGCGGACCCTCACACGCAGCGCTCCCGGGTGCGAGGACGGAGGGACCTGGGTCCAGATGTTCACCAAAAGTGCGCCCCCTTTCTCTCCGCGAGGCTCCCTTCCAACCCCCACTCCTCTCCTAATTCATTTAAGGACCAAGTTGCTGTGACCGGACAAACCGGGTCGGGGTGCTCCCCCGCCACCCTCCCGCCCCGCTTCCAGTCACTGCCAACCATCTCAGACCGCGCCCTGGCAATTCGGCCCTCAGACCCCCTCCTCTCTGCCCAGCCCCGAGGCCCGGCACCCAGAGACAGCGCAAACCTGGCAATGCGGTTCCGGTTGTGGCCTGGCGTGGGCGCGGCTCGCGGGGCTCCGGGACCCCCAGGGTCTCACAGGAACCTTGGAGAGAGCGGTTTAGGATGAATGGATGCCTGGCTTTGATATCGGGCTGAACCGTGGTGGCGTGGGTGGGGTTGGCCGGTCCTCTTGGTCGTGGGGGCCAGACCCGACGGTGTGGAGAGGATTTGGGGAGGGCCGCACGTCCTTCTTCTCGGACCCGCGGGACTGGGGCTATTCGCCGGCCACCTACCCACCCCCGCCGAGCTCCTTCCCCTCCCCTGGGTCCGCAGAGCCCACGGCTTCTCACCTGGCGCGCCCGGGTTCCCCGAGCGCCACGTCTATCCCGCCCCGCTCGGTGCCGCCCCGCCCCGCCGCGGCGAGC